GGGGGAGGAATCCCATCTCTGGCATAAACAAGTGACCCGGCAATAATAACCAATAATTGAGGGATGAACCCACGGGGAGTTCTCAGATGTGCCGTTGGAGGTTTACGGGCAGTTCCTCCAGATTGCTTCCATCTGCTCCTCTCTCAGAGGGTGGCACCCCTGGCTGGGAGGGGTGGGAGGGTGTGAGAGACAAATGGGGAGACCCCCCCAGGAACTGCAGTGGGGCACTCAGACAGTCTGGCTATTACAGACACTCCTCGGCTCTGGAGCAAAGGGCTGTTTCCTGGTGGAGGAACTGAGCCTTCTTATAACAGAGGGCATTTTGGGGGACCATCCACCTGCACCAGTGGCAGAGAGCCGGGGCCATCAGGGTTCCCACTGTACCTCAAAGCGCCAACACACCTTCAAAGACATATGTGGGTGTCGGTTTTCTCAGTTCCAAAACAGGGATGATATTTATTATATCAAATGAGACAGTTGCAAAGAGTTAGACAAAAATAAGGTGTTAACAGTATGGATTCTATTTTCAGTTTCCTGTGAAGTCAGTGGGAATTTTAAAGTATGAATATAAGAAAGAGTGTGCTGGGCTCCCACTCACCCCAAAGCCACAGGCCACAGCTGGAGTGGAAGAGGGGTCTTGAGAGAGGCGTCCTGAACCTCCCAGGCCACACTCCTTCACTGCCCACAATAGCATGTTCTTTTTTAGCCCCTTTGACAATCAAAGGGTGGCTCGGGTCACTAAGGTACAAGGTGCACCTCCCACCTCTGGCCTCCCGTCTCCTGGCCGTGTCCTCCTGTCACGGCACTGGCAGCAATGACTGGTCACATTAAGGTGCGACCTGAGATGCACATCAGGGGCACCGCTAGAACAGGTCCCACAAGTGCACAGAGGGATTTTCACATACACCTGCTGCCTGTGAGAACATCAGCAAAAGCGCGGGTGCTGCTTCTTAAGCTCCAGCTCCACTAACTCCCTGTCCCTTGTCCTCGTTCCTTGCCTACGGAGCCTGGTGTCTCCTCAGAAACCTGCCCCAGGAGAGGGAATGGGACAGGGTCGTCAGGTGTCCCGAAGAGGGCGGTTCCTTTCCTCCACGCGCCTGGCGATGGCGCACTTCTGCCCGTAACGCCAGGTGGGATGGGCAGGAGGACATTTTTATTTCCTTAGGGATGGCAGCAGGCTATTGTCGCTCCCCAAAATCCCTGGGCCACTGTCATAACCTGAGCAGGGTGAGCACTGACCCCCCGAGCTTGGGAGCACCCAGCACAAGGCGTCGTCACTTCTGTGACCTTCCTGCTAAAGGGGTGCAGCCTGGGTCTAACCGCAAGGAGGCCTGACACAGCCCACACTGAGGGGCCTTCTGCTCTTCCAAAGCATCAAGGTCAGAGGCAAGAAAGTGAGAAACTGTTCCAGCCTGAAGGAGATGGAAGAGACACAGACACTGAATGCGTAGATGACGAGACGGAGCACGGGGTTTTCAGGGCAGTGAAAATCCTCTGCGTGACACCATAATGGTGGATACCAGTCCATACAATGGCCAACACCAAGAGCGAACCCTCGTGTAAGTTACGGGCTGTGGGCGACTGCCATGTCAATGCAAGGTCATCGATGGTTTAACAGATGTGCCGCCCTGGTGGGGATGTTGTCAGTGGGGACGCTGTGCCTGTGTGGGGACAGATGGCACGTGGGAAATCGCTGTACCAAGTGCTCGATTTGGCTGTGCACCTAAATCTGCTCTAAGAAAATTAAGTCTTTATAAAAATTACATAAAATACAAACATGCAAACAACTGTAAGTGATGCATATGACAACTTTGGTGGGTGGTGATGACTTCGAAGGACATGATGGGGGTGTCTGAACTTGAATGGGGTCTGAGGGCTGATGGTGGTAACGATGATGCTC